GTGGGGAATGAGGAGGTGGGGGAAATGAGGAGGTGGGGAAATGAGGAGGTGGGGAAATGAGGAGGTGGGGAATGAGGAGGTGAGGGAATGAGGAGGTGGGGAAATGAGGAGGTGGGGAATGAGGAGGTGGGGAATGAGGAGGTGGGGAATGAGGAGGTGGGGAATGAGGAGGTGGGGAAATGAGGAGGTGGGGGAATGAGAGGTGGGGAAATGAGGAGGTGGGGAAATGAGGAGGTGGGGAAATGAGGACGGTGGGGAAATGAGGAGGTGGGGAAATGAGGAGGTGGGGAAATGAGGAGGTGGGGAAATGAGGAGGTGGGGAAATGAGGAGGTGAGGGAATGAGGAGGTGGGGAAATGAGGAGGTGGGGAAATGAGGAGGTGGGGACATGAGGAGGTGGGGAAATGAGGAGGTGGGGAAATGAGGAGGTGAGGGAATGAGGAGGTGGGGAAATGAGGAGGTGGGGAAATGAGGAGGTGGGGGAATGAGGAGGTGGGGAAATGAGGAGGTGGGGAATGAGGAGGTGGGGAAATGAGGAGGTGGGGAAATGAGGAGGTGAGGAAATGAGGAGGTGGGGAAATGAGGAGGTGGGGAATGAGGAGGTGGGGAAATGAGGAGGTGGGGAAATGAGGAGGTGGGGAAATGAGGAGGTGAGGAATGAGGAGGTGGGGAAATGAGGAGGTGGGGAAATGAGGAGGTGGGGGAATGAGGAGGTGGGAAATGAGGAGGTGGGGAAATGAGGAGGTGGGGAAATGAGGAGGTGGGGAAATGAGGAGGTGGGGGAATGAGGAGGTGGGGAAATGAGGAGGTGGGGAAATGAGGAGGTGGGGAAATGAGGAGGTGAGGAATGAGGAGGTGGGGAAATGAGGAGGTGGGGAAATGAGGAGGTGGGGAAATGAGGAGGTGAGGGAATGAGGAGGTGGGGAAATGAGGAGGTGGGGGAATGAGGAGGTGGGGAAATGAGGAGGTGGGGAAATGAGGAGGTGGGGAAATGAGGAGGTGGGGGAATGAGGAGGTGGGGAAATGAGGAGGTGGGGAAATGAGGAGGTGGGGAAATGAGGAGGTGAGGGAATGAGGAGGTGGGGAAATGAGGAGGTGGGGAAATGAGGAGGTGGGGGAATGAGGAGGTGGGGAAATGAGGAGGTGGGGAAATGAGGAGGTGGGGAAATGAGGAGGTGGGGAAATGAGGAGGTGGGGAAATGAGGAGGCGGGGAGATGGGGAAATGAGGGGGTGGGGAATGAGGAGGTGGGGAGATGAGGAGGTGGGGAGATGGGGAGTGTGAGTGGGAGGAGGGGCACAGAGCAGAGGAGAGGTCCCATGCACTGTGAGTATTATTGAAGTGTTGAGGAGTGGTAGGAGGGCCGAGGAGGATTGAAGAGAACAAGCATCATCTGTTAGTGTTAGCCTTCAATCTCACATTTGTACTTGTACTTTTTATATCCTAGTTTAGTGTAGTTTGCACTTTGTGTTTGGTTGGGTGTACACCCACATCCCAACCAAACCCAATTGGGATCTCCAAGCAATCTTCAACCCACCAATTGGAGATTGCCTTGGGATTACCCCCAATCCCTAGAGATTGCCCTCGATTCCCCCTCCCCATCCATTCCTTGCTCATCCTGGATGTACTTAAAGAGCTACAAGCTCATTACTAATGCATGGATTCTAAGCTCAAGTTCTGACATGGTATCAGAGCTTTTCAACCGCACACGCGGATCTTGATCCTCTTACCTTTGCGGAATCCTCTCCCGCACTATTAGGCGAAGCCGCCTTCAACATTCATCGCTCGACGTTAAGGATCGTCATCGACATAATCTTCCTGGCCGGAATTTCTCCCGCGCCGACCTCGTCTCCGTAATTCGCGACATCTTCCGTGGGCAGATTTTTCCTCGCGCTACCTTTTCACAGTCACGGTGCACCGGTTTCTGCACTTCGCTAAAGGTAACCGTCACTAGCGTTTTCTTGCCACTCGCCTCGAATCACCACTGTTCTGTCCCGCTGTTCTTCCCGCTTCGACATAACCCTATTTCTCCCATCTCATCTATCTTCGGGCTGCCGCCCGTCGACCAGCATCACCTTCGGGCTGCCGCCCGTTGCCCTGCAGCTTCACATCGGGCTGACGCCCGTCGCCCTGCAACATCATCTTCGGGCTGCCGCTCGTCGCCCCGCTACGGCACTTCTATCGCCCCGCAGCTGAACAGGTGTAGCCGAGCAGCCGTGTAGCAGCGAAGCCGCAAAGCTGAGGGACAGGGCTGGGGGGGACTAGGGTTAGCAGTTAGTCGACAGTTCTGAAATCGGCGTTTCCTTCAAATTCTCCTTCGAAAACCCTAAATCTCAAAATTCTCTTTCGTAAACCCTAAACCCCAAGTTCTTCAATTTCTCCTTCGAAAACCCTAAACCTCAAATTCCTATCGGTGACTTAAGAGCAGCGTTTCGCGCAAGACTCAAGGAATTCTTCACCATGGCCTTCTCCTCGGCCACCATCGCCAACCCTATCACCCCGCTCCGTCTTGAAGCCGACGGCACTAGCTCCAACTTCAAGGCATGGAGCTATGGGGTTGACAAGCACCTTCTGAGCCGTGAGGCGCATGGGCTGGATCTCAAGGATGTCCTCAATCATGGCAAGGGAAAACAGCCCCCCATCCCCAAGGAGCCGTCAAAACCTGCCGATGCTGCGGCTACCAAGAAGTATGAGGAAGATGTTGACAACTATTGTAAATGGGAGAAGGCCGATGCGGCTATTATTAGTGTTTTCATCGGCACTACGCCTCCCGAGCTCGTCAACACCTACCACAATTACCCCACCTCAAATGCCATATGGAAGCACCTTCAGGACCGCTTCATGAACAAGACGGCTGTTGGGGTCGCCATCCTTATCCCAAGCATGTTCCAAGTCCACCTCGAGGACTCGGCGGGCGTGACGGACTACATCTCATGGCAAACTCAAGGAACTCGGTGTAGTCTTCCCCGAGCAAGCACCGGCTGTAGCCCTCCTTGTCGGCCTCACCTCGACATATGAGGTGACTAGAAAAATGCTCCTCACCATCTCGACGGAAGACCTCACCTTTGCTAAGGTCTCTTCCGCACTCCTCTCCGCTGAAAAAGACATCACGGCTCAAGCCAAGGCCTACGCCCTCCAGGCTCCCGTGCCTCAAGCAAGTGTCGCCTCGGCAACCTTTCAGCGCAACCGCTTCCCTCCATGCACCTACGTCGTCAAGTTTGGCAACCGCAAGGGACAAGTGTGTGGTGGCACTAACCACCCCCTCGCTACGTGCTTCAAGAAGAAAGCCGACGAATGGTATGCCATCCATGGAGTCGACAAGAAGCCACCGAACTGGATGCGCCCTCATAAAGTCAACTTAGTTGAGGCACAGGACCCCGCTCAGGCTAGTTCTAGTGATAGTGCTCATGCTGATGTACGCATCAATTTGTTGTTCCCTGGCGCTGCCATGATTAATGAAGCAACTTCGCAGTACATCGGCTCATTACAGGCACCACAATACAAAGAATTCACACTCGATAGCGGGGCCACCCACACAGTGCTCAAGAAGACACTCTCCTTCAAACCCTACTCAACACCCATTCCCCTCTTAGGATCTGATTCAAGCTTCACCACTCTTGCCAAGGGTTCGTCCACAGTCCCGTGCCCCGCTTTCCCATCCGGCACAGTCACGGGCATGTGCGTGCCTTCACTACGCTACAATCTAGTGGCTCAAAAGGAACTTCAAGAGGCAGGGGTCCGCACCATAATTTCGGAGTACAACGACTATTGTGACATCATCGACCCCCTCACCAACAAAGTCCTAGCTCGCTTCACCCTCAACAGCAGCGGCCTCTACACGCTGCGTGTACCTATCCCTCAGGTGTCAACCACCCAAGCACAGGCCACTGTCACACCATACTCATGTCGCAGTTTCTCTAACCCGACCATCCTCTACCACCATCGGCTCGGGCACCCAAACTTCCGCACGCTTGCTGACATGGCCTCCAAGAAGCTTCTCCTCGGCCTGCCAGCCTCACTTCCACCACCACCTAACTCGCCCGCTCCCACGTGCTTTGACTGCACCAAGAGCAAGCTACGCCAACAGCCCCACCCTGCCTCACCCTCAGTAGCAACAGCCCCACTGGATCTAGTGCACATGGACGTCTGGGGCCCTACACCGGTTGCCGCACGAGGTGGCCATCGCTATTTTCTTTTGATAGTTGATGACCACACTCGCTACGTCTTTGTGCACCTCCTCCACACTAAGGCTGAGGCTCCAAAGACCATCATGGCATGGGTTAACCAGGCACATACCACCTTTGGCACCAAGGTCAAGCGCCTCCATTCGGATGGTGTGAATTTTGCAACACCAAACTTGAAGCCTTCTGCTCCTCTCTTGACATTCTGCAAAACTTCACCCTCAGCAGAACGGCATAGCAGAGAGCCGTAATCACACCTTGGTGCAAATCACTCGTTGTCTCCTCAGCCACTCTCACGCACCACTTTCGCTCTGGGGGTACGCCCTTTACCATGTCGCCCTCCTCTACAATCTTTATCCCCACCCGCATCTCCCCGATACCACTCCCACCACGCTCTGGTTCGGGAAAACACCCACTGCTCGCCCCCTTCGCGTCTGGGGGTGCACCGCCTATGTCCTCCTCAACCCCCAGGCTCGGCGGCAGCAAGGTGGGAAGCCCGGCCCCAAGACTCAAACGTGTATCTATCTTGGGCACAACGCCGACTCCCCTGATTACCTCTTCCTCAACCCCTCTACTCAACAATTAGTTCGGAGCTGCGATGTCGTATTTGATGAGACTCGCTCCTTCTACTCCACCTCAGGTGGGGATCCTCCCTCCGGACCACCATCTTTGATGCCCCTCCTGAACCTCCGCCTGAGGCTCCCTCACCTCCTCCCTCTCCTACCATCGCACCATCTCCCTCTGAGGTCTCTAACCCGACCTCACCGGTGTCCTCACCGGTGACATCCCCACTCACTCCCCTTGTGTCATGCCCACTCTCTTTATGCCATCCCACTCCCCTCGTACCATCTCCACTCCCCTTGTGCCATCCGCACTCCCTTCGTGCCATCCCCACTCCCCTCGTGCCATCCCCACTCCCCTCATACCGTCATGTTAGTGCGAAACGGAGCACCATCACCACTCACTCACTCACTCAACTCATACCACTTCACTTCGTACCATCACCATCTACTCACCTCATCAATCCCCAGAGCTACAGCTTGCTTCTTCCCACTCAACCTCCCAAAACGCCCCTCCCCTTCCCCTGAACCCACACCTACACTCTCTCCATCCCAACCTTTCTTCCCTCTAACCCCTCCTCCTCCCCCAGACTCTGCCACCTCTCCACCACCACCCCTTCTCTTCTCCTTCCTCCCTATCTGCTGCAATTTCTGCTGCTGTTGCAATTTCTGCTGCCTGTTCCCTACACGCCCCTGCTGCTTCCCGTCTCCTTCCCCCACCCCTTCCTGCTCCGCCCCCCGCCGTTTCTTCCCTGCTAGGGCAGCTTTCAACCGGCCGGCAGCAGTCAACTGCTTGCTGCCGGCTGCGGCTATCCTTCTGGCAGCAGCGGCAGCGGCGGCGGCGGGGGAGAGGTGGAGGACTGAACGGAAGAGCAGGTCTGGGTAGGAGGAGGGCTGGAGGGTGAATAGAGAGCCGAGGACAGCCGGGTTGACGAAAGAAAGGATGCTGAAAGGGAACGGGGGAGAGGGAAAGATAAGAAGGCAACAAAAAGAGATGCATTAGCATACCTGCTTGCTGCCAGTCGTGGCTTTCCTTGTGTTGGCAGCAGCAGTGGCAGCAGCAGTGGCAGAAGCAGCGGCAGCAGCAGCGGCAGCAGCAGCGGCAGCAGCAGCAGTGGTGGCGGCAGCAGCAGCAGCAGCAGTGGTGGCGGCAGCAGCAGCAGCAGCAGCAGCAGCAGCAGCAGCGGCGGCGGCGGCGGCAGCGGTGGGGGTGAGGTGGAGGAGGGAGCGGAAGAGCAGGTCGGGGTAGGAGGGCTGGAGGTTGAAGAGAGAGCCGAGGAGAGAGGGGCTCACGAAGGGAAGGATATTGACAGGAGGGTTGGGGGGGCGAAGGGAGAGACTGGGAAAAAGAGGGAAGGAGCCTGGGAACAGGGTCAAGTGTGCAGGATTTCGGGTTTAGCGACAGTTACCAGTTGGGCCTCGAGATTCGAGCGACAGTTTTGAGACGTCTCAGAACTAGTTTAGCGATCGTTACCATGTACCCCCGACTCGAACCTCAACAAACAACTAACTGCATCGGCCGAACGGAGGTCGCAGTGTGATGCCATGATGAAGTGACCACTGCCCCCCCCACTGCGACTTTTGAGGCGCCTCAAGTAACTTCGAGACTTTGTAGACAGTTACCAAGTAGCCCCCCACTCGACCCAGAGCACTTACCCACATCAGCCGAATGGGTGCGATGCGATGACAAAGCGATCGCTGCCCCCACTGCGACTTTAGAGGAGCCTCAAAAGCTGATAGTTACAAACCAGGTGAGGTAACCCTTCAGTTGATCTGCAACACTTACCCACATCGGCCGTAGGGGTGTGATGCGATGATGAAGTGATCGCTGCCCCCACTGCGGCGCCAGTAGGGATAATGTGACTGTAACGAAGGGGCATAGGGGCATATGCACGTAGAATAATGTGAATACTTGCAAAAAAAAGGCGCAAAAACAGACACGCAAGGTTCATGATGAAAGTGGCCGGATCAAGAAGGCATCACTTGCATTTTCTTGACACGTAAACTGTTGTAAGTGGGCAGGAATTTGAAAGCGCACACTCACCTGCATGCACCAAACACAACAAAAAATAAAAAAACACAAGCACTTGCGCTTCACACCTCCTCACCCTCTCACCTGCACATGCAATTGCACCTCCCCCGCTCACCTGCACATACAATAACGCCTCCCCCACATAACGCCCTGTATCTGCCAGCGCCTCCCAGTGCTCTAACGACATCTCAAGCCCGTTTCCCCGTGCTGCCGTCTCTCCCCCTGCTGTTGCAGCAGCGAGCGCAAGGGAGGGGGCTTCAAGAGAGGGCAGGCGCAGGGCGAGGTGCAGCATGGGCAGCACGGGGAGGAAGAAGAGGGAAGCGGCCTCGGGGTCCACTGTGCGATGTATGTTGGAGCGCTGCAGTGCCCTGAGAGAGGGAGAGGGGAGAGGAGAGGTGGAATTGAGATGAGGAGAGGAGGCGAGATGGAGTGGCACGAATAGGGGGCTGTGTTATTGGCATGAAATGAGAACAGAGGCACAGACCTGAACAGTAGGGTGCCTAGATGGAAGCCAAAGAGGTGGTGTGAGGTGAGGCGGTCTGAGAGGTCCACGTTGAACCATGTGGACGTCTATGCAGGGGGGGTATAGACGTGAATCAGGAGGGGCTATAAGCGACCTGAAGGGAAGCTCTGCCCTGAACAGCAGGTTGTCGAGATGGAAATCGGAGAGGTGAGGCGGTCTGAGAGGTCAACGTTGAAGCGCCTGGGAAGGCAGGGTATAGACGTGACTCAGGGGGGGTTACCTGAACAGCAGGTTGTCGAGATGGAAATCGGAGAGGTGGTGCGAGGTGAGGCGGTCTGAGAGGTCAACGTTGAAGCGCCTGGGAAGGCAGGGTATAGACGTGACTCAGGGGGGGTTACCTGAACAGCAGGTTGTCGAGATGGAAATCGGAGAGGTGGTGCGAGGTGAGGCGGTCTGAGAGGTCAACGTTGAAGCGCCTGGGAAGGCAGGGTATAGACGTGACTCAGGGGGGGTTACCTGAACAGCAGGTTGTCGAGATGGAAATCGGAGAGGTGGTGCGAGGTGAGGCGGTCTGAGAGGTCAACGTTGAAGCGCCTGGGAAGCTCGTAGACGTAGATGAAGTGCGACTGCACGCTCTTGGGCTCGGCCCACCAGCAGTTGGCCGCTGAGAGGAGGGGAGTGTGAGGAGTAAATGCAAAGGGGGTATGGAGGAATACAGTGTGTTGAAGCGTCTGGGAAGCTCGTATACGTAGATGAAGTGTGACTGCACGCTCTTGGGCTCGGCCCACCAGCAGTTGGCCGCTGAGAGAAGAGGAGAACGAGGAATGATGGAAGGGAGGCAAGGGGGGGTTGGGGGGAATGGGGGGTCTGAGGAACAACAGTGTGTTGAAGAGTCTGGGGAACTCGTAGCCGTATATGTAGTGCGACTGCACGCTCTTGGGCTTGGCCCACCAGCAGTTGGCCGCTGAGAGGACGGAGAATGAGAAGCCAAGGCAGGGGGAAGCGAAGGTGGGTAGTGTGTGGGAGAGGGCTCCAGAGCATTCATGCCTTTTGAGACATCCGATTTTGAATCAGACTCAGGAAATGAAGCGCGGGCGAGGGAAGTGAAGCGAGGAGAAAGAATGAATGACTGAGGGGAGGAACAATGGAGCGGAGGGGATTGAGCGGGAGGGATGACGTGCAGGTCGGGAATCAGGGAATCGCTGAGTGAAGTGGATCAGGAAATGGACATGGATGGGAGGATGAGAATATTCTAGGTCGGCATTAGCCTCCGGTCTACAAATGGGTGGCATACCAGATACTAGCGGTAGGCGATCGCATCCCCATGAACTGTCCCACACGAACAGGTGAATCGCGTAAAGCAGGAGAAATGTAGCAAAGAATGCGATGACTAGATTTCGCCACGACAGCCATCGTATTCTCCGGATCAGGTTCCTCGCGAATCTCAGTACGCGAACGCTTGTGGTAACCCGCTCGTTGCTTTGCGACGCAGGAGGTTCAGCGAAATCGAGTTGCGACAGCGGAAGCCTCCGCTGACGCAATCGCGACCGTAGAAAATCCATGCCAGCATTTCCTACTGAATCGTTCCAAGAGAATCTACATACCGAACGCGGACATCGCGCTCCACATGACAAGCATGGTCCACTTCAGACCAGATGATGCCACCACGGATTCGAACAGCGATCCGCCTGATTGGTGGGTGGGTGAGGTTGGGAGAGTTAGACAAAACGTTGTGTAACGCAAAACATCGTACCGAACTGTGCTAAAATGAATTCTGGTTCATCACAGTCATTAGGGCGCGCGTGATCTTTTTTCGAACTTCCCAAAGTTCGGACTTTTAGAAAGGTTCTACACGGCAGGATACAATATGGAAAATTTCGCCACGGTGCAAAGCGGTTTGAGCTCGAACTTAGACTCTGATGAATCATGCCCAACCTCGAAAACTGTTTCCGCTCACCACCGTTGCGGACCTTGTCACACCAGAGAAAACCACTCGATCTGAAGCGAAAGGAACGCATTAGCGCGACATCAGGTTGTACAATACTAGCACATACACAATTCTTGCATCGTGGCTCAGGACGGTTCCACACGGTGTAAAGCGGTTTTCAAGCTTCACCGTTTTGCACCGCGACGAAACGAAGTTGATCGCAGAGGGCGTTTTACAACCTGACATCGCCCTTAGGGACAATCCCAAGGGTGGTGTTTTGCGGCAAATGCGCAGGAAGCAAAGTGATTCTGCTGTCAGGTTGCTCATGCGACAGCCGTCGCAAGCGCGAAAGCTGTCGCAAATACTTTCGACGGTGTCCTCCACCGACCAGCACGCCCAATCAGAGCGTCTGAAATCTCCAAAGCGGAGAATTCGATCGAGATGGGAAATGTGGTGCCAACCAATCACGGTTCGAGCGACGAGAGATACATCCAAGCTCTAGCTTTCCAGATCCACATTCTCGCAAGAACCCATTTTCCCCGTTTCGCCTCGTCCCTGCCTTCTCCTGATTCAAAATTGACTCTTTTTCCGTTCCTTGGTTTCTTCATTTTCCTCGTTTCCCCTCATTTCATGCCTGTTCTGTATTCAAATGAGCCTCCAAATTTCCCAGCCTCTGTAGGAGGCCTTTACTCATTGAGCTCAGTCGTCTCAGGGTAGAGACGTTTTTACCGTTAGTAATAGGTAGCTTAATCAGTATTTTGCCGGCTCACCTTTGGAACCGGCAGAAAAAAAAACAAACATTTCCCATCTCGGAATCTCCGAGATTTATAATAAGTTGAGGTTTACTCACTGTTTGGGGACCTTGTAACCGTGCAATTCTCTTTCCTGACAATATCCTGAAGCAGCTATCACCCTGCTATCGCATGATGGCCTTACGACAATGACACAGCTGTAGCAGCTGATTGCGCGTCGGAAGCTGACTGCAGCTGCTCAGCGCAGGAATTGCGTGCACGCGCTTCGTCGTCAGAAACTTAACTTGATCGTTTTTGCGTGAATGATGCTTAAGCGTATTGGAGTAGAGTCTGGAGGGGTATGGGGAGCCCTGATTGGATGAACTGACGTGGTCGTCCACCATCTCACTTGACCTATCACCATCTCACATGATCCGTACACCTCACATGTTCGCTTACCATCTCATTTGACGGCCGACCCTTCGTCCACAATTCTGCACCCGTCATGATGCACAATCCATCTCGCGGATCTCAGCCGCCCATTTCCACTGGTGAATTCTCACCTCCTTGCCTGTGCTTCACATGCTCCTCGTCTCGTGGTTCAATTCGCTGCAGCGATGTTTCGGCACGCCGTTCCTCATCCTCGTCTTCAGCATTTACTGGGCGCAGGTGATATGCTGGAAGGGTTAACGGTTTCCCGCGGGTTTTGACGAATTTTTACCAAGTTTCGAGGGGTCTGACGGTATTTGACGGGTTTTTTTAGGATTCTTCCTTCTCTCTGCGTCCACCTTTACCCTTCTCACTCACCACTTCACCGTTTTCCTCCCCTCGTATTCCCCTCTCCTGGACGACCATCAACATTTAGTGAAGGTGCATCTCAACCCTGGGCTTCTTTTGTTCCTGCCTCTTTCCCTCCTTTCTTCACCCCTCCCCCACTCATTCATAACCCTCAAGGCTTCCGCGCGTGTTCCTGGACGGGCATCAGCCAGCATTCTGGTGGAGGACCATCTGAAGCCGGTACTGTCCTTGTCCCTGCCTCTTTCCCCTTCCTTACACCCCATCACCACTTCTCCCCGTTCTTCATTCTTCCCCCATCCAATCATACCCCTCATGGCTTCCGCGCGTTCCCCTGGGCGGGCATCAACATTCTGGGGAAGGACTATCTGAATCTGGGCCCAGCGGCAGCGCAGCTCATGACCTCTACTGCCTACATGCCGTGGAGTGTGAAGCCGTTGTACGGGTGAGCGTTGAACCCCTTCACAAGTGAGTGCGCACATCAGCATGAAATGGATTTTAAGGTGCCTTATGTAAATATACACATATATGTATGTATACCTTTCTGTATATATGTACATATATGTGAGTGCGAGCGCAAAATAATTTTGTGGCTGGATTAGATGCACTCGTTTCATCCTCTTCACTTGACCTTCCCTTTCACCCAACTCAATGCCTCTCATCTCTTGAACTTCACACCCCTCACGCCCTTCACCCCCCCTCTGCAGGATCTTATCTTATGTGTGCCTATAAGGGGCGGCCGTCGCATCCCCTACATCATCATCGCCAACACTCCTCTCATCACTCTCCCACTTCCTATGCCTGCCCCCTCCGTTCACCCCTGCTAAGCAGGATCTTATCTGACTGTGCCTTAAAGGGGCACCCCGATGTTCCCGCCTAGCTCGGCTCTTCGCTATTTCAATGCTGGGCTTCATCAATTGCTCAGTAGTTGTAATCATTTTCTAGTTATTGACTTCCTCGCACTCTATCCGCTTACAACTCATAAGAGGTACTGTCTTGAACAAAATAATTACTTACAAAGGGGCAAAAACACAAACGCCTAAGCATTCACAATCTTCCCCACTCCTGTTTAGCAGCAAGAGCTTCCCCATGCTTAGCAATCACAACTGGCTTGAGCAGCTTCATGAGCCTAACAGCCTCCTTAACCTCTAATTCACCCTCTCCATACCTCTCATGCAGCTCCTTCACACTGGCTTTCAACCCTGGAACCTTCCTTGCCGCCTTCTCCCTTTCCACCATCGCAACTTGCAACTCTTGCCTTCTCTCTAAGACCAACGCCTCAGCTCTCTTCACCTTCCTGCTCATTGCTCCTGCCACTCTCTCTGCCAGAGCCTTCACCAATTCAGCCTCCTCCCGCTGCATCCTCGCTCTCAAGGTTCGAGCCGCAGACTCAACACTCATGGCAAGGCGCAGGTCTTCATTTGCTTCACGCAGAATCCTCGTCTGTTCGTTGGCCATCTCCCGTGCTCCCGCCAGCTCAGCTTCCGCCTGTGCCAGGTCTTTCTTGCCTTCCTTCACCTGGAAAACCGCATACTCCGCATCGGCCTCCGCATTATCCAGCTCTTCACGCGTCCTCTTCAGCTTCTGGAAACCCTCTGACGCCCGAGCCTCAGCTATGGAAGATTTCCAAGCCTGGACTTCGGCTCGGAGGCTCTCCAGCAACCCCCTAGCCACCGCCTCCTCAGCGTCTGCTGCTGCAATCTCGTTGACAGCTTCTGTCGACTTTTGCAAGCCTGTACTCTTATACTGCGAATTCTGTTAGAATCATGTGAGGAGAATGAATGTCGATCAGGTTGGGGGGGGGTACAAGATTGTCGAGAAAAGAGTTGTACCCTCTAAGGATAACCCCTACATAGCCTAGACAAGCTAGAAACATATAATGTTTTGATAAATTCTTATCTTGAGAACCATGCTCAACATCCATCACTTCGCCATGGGGCGATTCGATTTCCGTGAGATAAGGGTCGTCTTTGTCACTCCATAATGGCACCACTTGACTCTTTTTTGGACTGGGAAAAGGTCTGTTCGACGGAGGTCCGATGGATGAAGGCCCGTTGCTTAAAGAGCCAGTGAGCAGAGGTGACATTTATGACGTGCGATGATTGGCCTGTCTTTTATTGCTCTCGGCATCATTCTTTGCGCCATCTGCGACGGAACCCAATGCAACTGACGGCGCGCCACGGGTTTCATCTCAGCTTGTTGAGGATGGCATCTGGACGATTCCGAGAATGGCGCGCTCAGATTCAGGAAAGGTTGTCATCGCACGTTTGAACACTGCAAGATAATATCGCAACGTCACGTTTGAACACTGCAAGATAATCTCGCAACGTCACGGTAATCTTTGCGAGAATGTGAGCGAATGAATGAATGAACAAGGAAGCAGGTGGGTACAAGTAGCAAACCTAAAAGTGTTGTACCCTATAAGAACTACCCCACTACAGCCTAAATAGACTATAGCATATATACGTTTGACACACCCCCATAGGCAAAGTGGGGGAGAACAAGAGGTCACAAGACCAGTCAAGAAAGGCAAAGCAAGCTCAGGGTGGATCACAAAGTCACCACGCAGTCTGAGCACAAGCAAATGGCCACAAGGCCAGTTCACATGCAGAGTTATATAAAGGAAAACAGACAATACAGTGAACACAACCTAGCAAGTGTAAGCATGCAGGTATATGTATATAGAGTACAGTGCAAGCAGAGTCAAGAAGTAAGCAAGTGAGGCACAGTAGGTACAAGGCCTAGAACAGTATAGAAACGCTGATGATCACAAGGCTGAAGTGCCTTGGTGAAAACATCAGCAGTGTTGGCCTGTGAGGCCACGTAAGCAAACGAAGCTGGCCACGCTGCTGCAACTCTCGAGCAAGGAAGTAGCGCAGAGCAATGTGCTTCGTTCTGTGCTCCAGTCTGTGCTCCTGACACAAGGCAAGCATGGCCTTGTTGTCGACGTACAGAACTGGAGGAGAACGAGGCGCCTCTCCCAAGTCGGTCAGCAGGTAGGTGAGCCAGCGTAACTCCTGTGCAGCCATGGCCCCAGCGTAGATCTCAGCCTCACAACTAGAGCTGAGAACAGAAGACGAGCGGGTAGACCGCCAAGAGACGGAACCGGAGCCAAGACTAAAGGTGTAACCCTGTGACGACCGCTGCGTAGCCAAGTCGTCAACCCAGGAGGCGTCAGCGTGACCAGTGAGGACAACTCGAGCCCGTCCTCCAAGCACGAGCCCCATGCCTGATGTACTGCACAAGTATCGCAACACCCTCTTCGCAGCATCCCAGTGCACCTTTCGGTGCCTGCCGGGAGCCACGTAGCAAGCCAGAAGGCTGAGAGGGTATGCGAGGTCAGGTCGTGTGCAAGTCATCAGGTACATGAGGCAGCCCACAAGCTCTGGATACGGGCCACTCGGATCTACGGACTCGTCCGAAGGTGGAGCTGAGAGCGAGTGACCGGTAGGCAGAGGAGTGGACTGTGGCGAGGAGTACGTGAAGCCGAAGCGCTGAAGGACCTGCTGCACCATGTGTGACTGAGTCAAGGTAATGGTGCGCTGTTCTCTGTCCTGGGTGATCCGCAAGCCAAGATAGCTTGTCAGTTCACCCAGGTCTGTGCACGTGTGTCTCTTCTGCAGCTCGGACTTCACGTGGGCGAGTGCCTCAGTGTCAACAGTAGCAAAGACGAGGTCGTCTACGTACACGAGAACGTAGAACAGCGGCAGAGTAGTGTCAGAGCGTAAAAACAGAGAAGGGTCAGAACTGGAAGGAGCAAAACCAAGAACAGCAAGAGTCGTCCTGAGTGTGTCGTGCCACTCACGGGGTGCCTGGCGGAGACCGTAGACTGGCCGCCGGAGGCTCCACTGGGTACCAGCAGGAAACGACCCAGTGAAGCCAGGTGGGCGGCGCAGCCAGATCTCCTCGTGTAGGCTGCCCTGTAGGAATTCTGTGCTGAAGTCAAGCGAGTAGAGCTCGTAGTCACGCTGAGCAGCAACGTGCAGCAGTACCCGAAGAGTGGTCATCTTCGGGGTAGGGGAGAAGGTATGAAAGAAGTCAACTCCCTGTCGCTGACTGAAGCCTCTAGCAACATAATGCGCCTTGAAGGCGGGCGAAGAACCCGGCGGCCGCTTCACCCTGAAGATCCACATGCCACTGACGATGTTCGCCCCAGGTGGGGGAACCTCGTCTACGTAGGTGCCTGTGGACTTCCAGGAAGCCATCTCGGCGTCCATGGCTGCCTGCCACTGAGAGGAGTAGGGACCCTCTATCGCCTCTGCGTAAGAGCGCGGGGTCGGGATGTCTGGTGCATCCGGGTCTCCCTCAGGGGCAAGCAGCATGGACACGAGATGAGGTACAGTAGCGGCAAAGCACTCAAACTCCTCCTGTCTGTCCTCAAGAACGTCCGTGCCAAGAGTGCCACTAGTGAGAGACGCAGACTCAGACTCAGCAACAAGACTAGTGGCGTAGTCTAGGTGACAGGCTGCAGCAAAGTCAACAAGCTCAGTAACAAGAGCAGACGCAGCAGTGGACTCAAACAAAGGGTCAGTGACAGCAGTGGCCAGAAAGCGCGGGACAGCTGGACTAGCAGCACGTAGGGAGTCAGACGCAGGGTCCGGATCGGCAAGAAGAGAGGACGCAGGAGGAGACGGCAGAGGGGCACGCTGTGGAGCAGTGGAAGGACGCAGAGTCATAGAGTGAGTGCCAGGGACAGGGGGAGGACGCGGACGCGAAACACGACCAGCGCGAACAGGACGGACAGGCGACGCAGAAAGAGACTCAGGCGACACAGGACGCGACTCAGGCTCACGACGCTCCGTAAGACCTCTAGTCAGTCCAGAGTAAGGAGAAGGACCAGGCAGTGGAGAGGCCGGCTGTAACTGCGACTGGGACTGGACAGGCGGTGGACTCAGGAAAGGAGGAGGAGGACCAGGAGAAGGCGGGGAACCAAGAACCTGCTGAAGGAGTGGAACGTAGTACGGCCGCGGCCGCGCAGCGCCTCTAGAAACAGCAGAGACATAACCGGTACCCTCAGCCCCAGGGTCTCCAGTCCCAGCAGCACCTCCAATCCCAACAGCACCTCCAGCAGCTCCAGCAGCTCCAGCACCAGCAGCACCTCCAGCAGCTCCAGCAGCTCCAGCACCAGCAGTACCTCTAGCACCAGCAGCACCGCCAGCAGCTCCAGCAGCACCTCCATCAGCTCCAGCAGCCCCAACAGTACCAGCACCAGCAGCACCTCCAGCACCAGTAGCACCTCCAGCAGCTCCAGCACCAGCAGCACCTCCAGCACCAGCAGCACCGCCAGCAGCTCCAGCAGCACCTCCAGCAGCTCCAGCGGCCCCAGCAGCAACTCCAGCAGCTTCCCGGGGGGGGAGGGGGTCGACCGGGGGAGTACTTGGTGCTAGGAAGAGCGGCGGGGGGGGGGGGAGAGAGGCAGTGCGGTTGGGAAAGAGACGGTAGTAAGACACCGACTTGTCAAACGTGACGTCGTGAGAGGACAGAACACGACGCGAGGTGGGGTGGTAGAACTGCCACCCGGGTGCGTCAGGAGGGAAGCCAAGGTAGACACAGGGAACGGCACGGGAGGACAGCTTGTCCGCTGAAGTATCGCGGACAAAAGCTCGAGATCCCCAGACACGGAACGCGGACGCATCGCCAACCTTCCCCGTCCACCTCAGAGTAGGTGTGGTCTCCGGTAAGGAGACACGAGGCTGAAGGTTGATCTGATGCGCAGCGTACTGAACCGCGAACGGCCACAGAAAATGGGGAGCAGCCGCATGGATCATGGACGTACGAGCGACGTCCATGACCATGCCAATGCGGCGCTCAGCAATCCCATTTTGCT